ACTTGTTTCATTCCTACAAATTCAAAACTTTCTTGGTCCTTGTCATAGTCTAAATAGCATATGCACCCATCCGCTCCAGTCTGAACAAGAAAGGAAAACAGAAAAAGAACTAACACACTAAAACATGCTTGCATATGAAGAAATACAAAAGCACACAGGCAGACATGCATCAAACCATTTCCAAAAGGTTTTAGTGCATCACGGCATTAAACATCATTTATGCTACCCTATGATTGTCCCTGTCTTAAGGAAAGTTTGATGTTCATATTAATTCCTTAACAGATAAGGTTCCCTTTTCCTTGAGTGAGCACAAATGATACACGTTGCATCTTAACTTTACTAGAAATTTGTCTGTTTAATAAATTTTAAATCGTGAAAACTTCCAAGGAAATTCCATTGTGGGAGAAAAAAAGTAAGACAGTTATAATTCCAACAATTGCCTTTTACTAGGAATTGAGATCATACCGAGCGAATTTCAATTTGATTGCAGCTCAATCTGACAACTGAAATATTGGACACACTTGAAATCCCATGAGCTCCTTTGAAATAACTTCGTGGAGATATCTTCACACCTGATATGCTTGACATGCACAGCAACAGGTCCTTTGATAAAGGGAATAGAACCAGATTACCACGCAGATCTCCACAGACCAGTAACTGCAAAAGTTTTAAGTACAAGAAACATCAGGTAAATAAATAATATGTAACACCAACGTCAATATATCCCTTTTTGTGCAAACAAAGTATACTGAACGAAGTCTGTCTTCACATTGACAATACTTTCTTCAATGTTGAAACTAAAAAGGCTTTTCTAGTTTTGAATCCAAAACTCCACCTTAAAAGCATAGGAGAGAGAGCCCATTCAGATTAACCGCAAGGAAGGTTAACATACCTCTTCCTCAAATGACAAATCCAAGCACTTTATTCGTATTCCAAAACACGAAGGGAATTCTGCTATAATGGATATTCTTCCAGAATCATGACAAACAGATAGTGAAGGGTCATACAACCTCCACAGCTTTAAAACTCCCCTGGGATCAGTGGTGAAGACATACCTAGACAACAGAAATGATGATAATTCAAAATCCTCTACATCTTCAAAGTAAAGCATAAGACTAAGATGTCTCTCAACTGAAAATGCCAGATAATCAGCAGGAAATTACAGAATCTCCTACTGAAGAGCATTGGGCATGTAGTATAAAAGTTGGTCACTTCTTTACCAATCAAATAATCATATTAGCAAACCAGTAATTCTCAATTGCCTTAAACAGCAAATGGGGTCTATAAATGATCCAAACAATAAAGAAATTGGTTTAAAATTCACAAACTAGTATGTAGGTTTTTACAGAACCTGACAGAGAACAAAATTCAAGATATCATCAGATTAATAAAGAAAAGTCATTACCTACATCCAAGTGACTTACACCAGTAAGTTCCTAAGAGTTGCCTCTCTGCTCCAGCTGACCAAGTAAAGGTGAAGCCCACTTCAGGTGAGGAGGGACCACCAGTGACTCCAACAACCGTCATATTTCCTTTACCATCTCCAAGAGCAATCCAATCATCTATACTGCAATCATGTTCAGAAAGGTTTTTGGATAACAGATCCATACAAACAATTGGAACCTCTCCGGTGACACGGACTAGTTCAGTCCATTTGACATCCCCAGTCTCAGATAACAGAGCATGGTACAGATAACCATGATTTGTGGCAACATAAAGGATATTTTCACATTTAAAAAACAAGGAGCGCACGTATTCACTTTTGCTGCAACAACAGGAACCAACAATGCCAATCGACCATAAGTACATGATACAAAATAACCAAATAATACAAAAATGACAGAAGTTGAGCAAAGAATGCTAAGGCATAGGGGGAGAACAAAAGTTTGTGACCCACAAGGCACCAGTTTTGGGCCCTTCAACAGAGATATTTAGCAACCACTAGAATTTTCAGCATCACAATATGTTAGATACCAGCATCATAATAGAAGATCCAATATTTTTGTAACTTCTTAAAGAGGCATTGATATGACATGCCGAGCAGAGCAGAAACTCAAGAGCACAGTGATAGAAACTTCGGGCAAAGCCAATGTTTAGAGGCAAAAAGATGAAAATTTTATATTGTCCATTGATCTTTTTACCTGTCCATGAGTCCAGCATGGTCCATTGAATTTGGGATGCGAATAGTGCTTATCTGTGCTCCCTCAATTATATGTTTGGATTCAGCATCTTTCTCCAAGTTCAATGTCTTATAAACAGAGGTGTGCAACTGATGAACTTTAATTGCGGAGTCAAACCCAGCAGTAATGAGAAGTGAAGAGTCTGGATCATATAAACATCGCCATATGCCTCTTCCTCTGCAATTAAAAATATTTTAATACTGTGTATTATACAAAAATATTAGATTGATCAGATTTGGGCTAATTCAACAGCAACTTCCTCCTAAAATTACGACAGTTTCAATGTAAAAGGCCACATAAAATATCAAAAAGAAGAAAAAAACTTAAGTACAAAAATCTGGAATTACAACTTACATATGCTCCTTAATCATCCTATGCTGCTTTCCATCCGGACCCCAGACACGACATGTACAGTCCTCGCCAGCAGTAATAATTAACTAACAGAAACTATGGGAAATCAGTTTCTGATAGAGAAGTTCATAATTTAAAAACTAAGCTAGGAAACAGACTACTTCTAGATGCAGCTAAGATGCCACATTTTGGAATATGTAAAGGACACCAAAAGCATACTAGAAATTACATAGAACAAGTTAAAAGTTTAACTCTATCACGGATTTTTTTGTCTTCGTTCTCTGTTCTTGTTAAATTTCACATATGCCAGAAAGAATAGTACAAGTAATAGTGCACCAGGATTACATGAATCTTACAGAATCAGAAACACAGCAGTCCCAAACCCGAGCACTATGGCCAAAGAGCACAGGACCAACGACCTCCCTTTTGTCATCACAATTATTCTGTCCAACATGAATTGTCCAGATACGAGCACTGTATGGATAAAGATATCATATTAATGCATAACATAACTCCAAGAATAAAGTGAAACAATAAGAAGAAAGGAGTTTTTAAAAACTTATTGACCTACGATCATCAGAAACAGAAACAAGTTTGGCTCCACCGCAAGACCACACAATGCGAAATATCGAACCTTCATGTCCAACAAGTCTACACATGTTAACAGCTTTATGCTGCTGATCATGACACTTGATAAAGTTTGGGTTTGAACTGCTTAAATTCATGCAATCTTCCACTGGACTTGTTAAACTTGGAGAATTACGTTGATAAACGACTTTCCAAACTATGATCTGCTCAAAGTCAATAAGTTAATAAGAAATCACTTAATGTCAATGGTGCAAAGGACTGAAGTTAACCACTACAGAGTATAAACCTATAAGGACGATGATAATGATGGCATAATGCCAACAACCAGGGTTCACACTCAATTTCAATCTGTTATTGGCAAAGGACAAAACTAGGGTGACATGTTTAAGGGATGAGTATTGTAAAACTTTAAACAAGAACCAAAAAAAACTTAAAATTGGCAAAGTAATGGATTTTTCATTAACTAAATCAATTAAAATTACTTCAAAGACAGTGAAAGCATTAAAAGGAAACAGGAGAAGAATTGATTGCAAGGAAAGACAAGCCACCTCATTATAAATTGTACCAGAAGCAATTCGAAGAGCTTCAAGATTGTCACCCCATAATCTCATGGAATACAAAAGACACCTATCTACATGTGAATTAAAAAAAAATGTTCAACACAATAATAAACATTACAAAAGGAAAATAAAGCTCACTAAAACAAAATCAATAAAAAGTCAAAAACTTAATGTAACATCACGAAATGGTGAATTGGGTACATAAACATTCCAGAATTTGGATGCGACTAACCTGGAGACTGAACTTGAAGAATCAAGCTCGAGTTTAAAATATCCCAAAGATGGACAGAGTTGTCACTGCATCCAATGGCAAGACAATGGTCCTAGCACCCAATACAAGAACAAACATTAACAAAAAATGAATGGAAATTTGCAGTCAAATGAAAATAGGCAAAAAGTATTTTACCTTTAAGAGCAAAACATCTAAAACCCAATGACTAAACCTCGGCAAAGAATGAACTAAACTCAAATCCACGCAGAACTTCGGTTGACTCTGGGGGTTTGACTTGGACACCAGTTCAAAACTTAAGTTAAATAACTTTACTCTCTTTTCACCGCAAACAACAAGTTTATAAGTTAACGCATTACGAGTTAAGCTACAAATGATTCCATGTACGCGAATGCCCTGGAAGACTTGAAAAGATTGTATCATTGTTGCTGATTCCAGATCATAAAGGAGAACTTGAGAACCGGAACCTGATTTAAACAGAGGAAACATTAGGTATTTAGATTTAAAAAAAGTTTTTTTTTTGGGGGGGGGGGGGGAATTTGAGGGAAGAAGTTTTACCGGCAAGGAGATAAGGGACGGAAGAGAGGTGAGAGGGAAGGTGGGAGAAACAAAGGGCTGAGATTTCTCCGAGGTATTGGTTGCTACGTAGATGACACTGGCTATGGTTCAGCTGCGACTCCGCCATAGTTGAGCTTTTTCTGCTTTGCCTCAAACTATGAAAGTGGAACTCGAAACTGTTTTGAAGTTGCAGGGGTTTTGTACTTGACTTACTAATGAATGGATTAGTGGGCTTTAAGGGAAAAAAAAGCTAAACAAGGCCATTTATAAGGGTTTCGGGCTTAGAAAAGGCCAAGTTAGCCCAATACAAAAGGTTAAAAAAATAAAGCAAGGGTTTTATATGGGCTGAATGAGAAGTTCAGTTAACCCAATCTGAAAGTTAAAATAAAAACCAAAATTGCGGTGAGCGTGGATCGAACACGCGACCTTCAGATCTTCAGTCTGACGCTCTCCCAACTGAGCTATCCCCGCTTGTTCGGAATTACTCGGACTAGATATCTTATTTATAACTGAGACTAATTAAATTCCATAAATAGATTGCCACGGTGAGGGTCTGTCTGAAATCATTGTTCATCGTCTCCTTCCATTTTTATCTATTGCGTATTACTAATTCCTTTCTTCTCTTTCCATTCTTAACACGACTCAACGACTGCCATGGGGAAGATCCCTCTTTTCAAGGACGAGTACACATTCGGTTTAATTCCCAAAACTCTTCTCTTATCTTCGTCTTCCAAAAAAAGAAAAACCCTCCTTTCTAATCCCGTTTATTTTTTAATTTAATTTGTTCTTTCTTCTAAATTGAATTGCAGAGCAAAGGCTTGACGAATCCCGCGATATCATTGCCAAATATCCCAATCGGGTCCCCGTAAGTTTTCCGATTCCGTCTCATATGACTTTATACTTGGTCAAACCTTTTCCTCTCTTTCTTTTTTTTCTTTTTTTTTTTCGTATAAATATCAGTCATTATTTGTGTTTCCAATATTCTGCCTTTGGGGTATTGCCAGGAAGTTAATGTTCTTAAAAATATGTTCATTTTTCAATTTTTTATCTGCTGGGTTTATTTTGTTGTCTTGATTAATGTTCTACAATTGTAATCAAGCTTACTACTTTAGATTAGATGAACTTAATCCCTTCTGCCCTTCCATGGATATGGCTTATATTAAAAAGAATAAGCTTTTAATTGCTAAAATGAGTGATCTGATCTTTTTGTTCTCATTTCGCAGGTGGTTGTTGAAAGATACTCACAAGCCGATCTTCCCGAGATGGATAAGAAAAAGTAAGTTTCAGCCTACCCCAAAAGCAATTTGTTCTTATCAACTGCATGCCTTACTGTCTTATAGCTTATAATTCTTTGTTGGGGAACTCTGCCTAAGGCAAGAAAGACTACTGATGATGGATACTCTTTTTATAAACTTTGCATGATTATTATTAAGATTTTGCTTGTTGAATTGTGTAGATGAAAAGATCCAAAGTTGAAAGCACAGTTTTATTATTGCTAAATATATGGATATCAAAAGTTGGAATTACTAGTTAGAAAAGGATAAAAGGGAAGAATAAATTCATGCCACTCTGTTTCAATTGTAGGTATCTGGTACCTCGAGACATGTCTGTTGGACAATTCATTCACATCTTAAGCTTAAGACTTCGTCTGACCCCTGGAAAAGCGCTCTTTGTGTTTGTGGAGAATACTTTACCTCAAACAGGTAAGCCATGATAAGATTATGCACTGTGTTCTTTCACTTGGTTCTGTTG